GAAATAAGTCAGTAAACTTAACATTAATATATATTCGTAATTGATCTATTGCATATATGTTTTACTTATTAATAGTAATCAAGAGACATGCGAAAAATCACAAAATTTTAATTATATGTTTGTTAGTAATTCAAATGCAGTCGAGAGTACTTCATCATATTCATGTTACAATCATCTAAATAGATTTGAAAATAAGGAATTTAAATGCATTTTACCAATGGTTGATGGTATAGCACTTTGTAATTCTGATGATCAATGTGAAGGATTTATGATTAACACAGATGAAAATTGGCAAAAGAAGTTTTTCAGTAATGGAATGCAAACGGTACAATTGTTCGGAAAAGGTGTTACATATACGCCAAGTGAAACATGGCGTAGTTTCAAAAAACAACATTAATTATTTAACGCTGTGTTTTATTCTTTTTTGTTTGTTTTTCTATTTAGATAAGCTGTCACTGTTTCTTATTTAAAACGGCGTTTAGCCATATAAAATGCATGCTATTTACTCAAGGATATTATATAAGACAGTATCGACGAATGGTTCATTTTTGAATATGTATAATATAAGCCATTTATCGACTATTTCTTTCTTATTAATTACCATCATCAATGAGAATATAATCCATAGAAAATTAATAGGAAGATGACCAAAATAAATAAAGGGAAAGACAAAAATCAAATGGATGTAATATGATCAAAGAACATTTGTTTATACGTCCATGGGAAAAAATTGATGGTCTAAATCCTTCCAATGACTATTGACACTTGGTCATAAATATTATTAGAGACATTTAAATTTTGGTATTTATTTTTCTTTTCAACTCAATTTAAATTCGTACCGATTAATAAATGCATAATATATGAAATGGAGTAAGTGTTACGTGTATGTATCAATTCGAATATGGAAATACATTTGTTCTTAATCGTTTATCTAGGAAATATTCATTTGGAAATATTTGAGAATATTAGCAATTCTAGTATGATCTTAATGATTATTCAAAGTCAACTGCAATAAATAACACAAAAACAATATCTGAATAAATAAATAGAAGATGATTTATTTTAATTGAAAAAATTCAAAAGTAAATATTATATTTTAAGATGTCGTATAAATATCATCATAAAATATGATTAATAATAAATCTTCAGTATTTAATATGATTTAAAGAAATGAAGTAAAAATAATAAGTAAAAATTGAACGATAACGATATATATATGTTGAATATGAATAATTAATAAATGTGTTAAAGAAAAATTCTTATTGAATATATTTATTTGATTAATGAAATATAATCGTTTCATGGAAATAGTTCTATACTAATTGAAGATTTCTTACTGATCATGTTTTAATAATGATAATGAAACATTAAAATTTAAGATTTATTTTCATATATTTAAATTGAATTCGTTTGATTATTTTATAATAAAATAATTTATTTAATAAAGAAATATTTTTATTAAATTTATTTATTTATTAATGATAAAAAATAATAAAAAAAATATGCTGATTTGTTTCATTTTTACTGATTTATCTTATTTATTTTTATCTCTATAAGCGTATAGAAATAAATATCTATTCATCATCAATGAATAGAAATTATCAGAAATGATTCAAAATTAAGGAATATAAAAATTAATCATAACGAATATTGACATCTATTAAAAAATCAATTGAAAATCAATCAAAATAAACCTAAATCATACATAGAATTAACATTTTATTTAATGGAGAAAGTGCAGATCCTGCACCTTCAGCACCTTCGGCACCTATTCGGCACCTGAAACAAGTTTCAATATGAGCACCTTTAGCACCTTCAACACTTTCAGTACTTTTTCAACAACTTATGGTATACTTTGGTGTTTAAGCACAGCTAACGTATGTGCAGCACCTTATCAGCACATTGCACCGGTAGGTACCAAGAAACACTTAAGGATGGTGAGAGGTGCTGTCAAAGAACTGAAGGTGCTCATCTTGAAACTTGTTCCAGGGACCGAATAGATGCCGAAGATGCTGAGCAAGTGCTGAAGGTGCCGAGCAGGTACTGAAGGTGCAGGATTTGCACTTACCCCCTTGATTTTAGTAATTCAGACATTCTATGATTTCTAATTATTCATTAATTTATATTTATTTTTCATGTATTATCATGAATTGAATTTACTTGTTTCCTCTTAAGAGAGATATCGCGACAGAATCGCCCAGTTTTACAGGAGCTGTCCGAAAGTAAATGCTAGATTTTGATATTTTGTATTTAGTTTTATGCTTTATGGAGTTAACATACAAAATCCCATATATTACGATCAAAGAACATTCTAGGGTGTGGGTGTCGCTCAGTGAAGGAAAATCCACACCAACGCCAACAGACACACATCCACATACTTTTTTTTTCTACTTCTTAACAACTAAAAATTTTCTCAAGCTCACATTCGTTGTAAAGATGGTTGTCTGGATCAGAACTAACTTTATTTTGTTTGTTTTATCTTTGAAAATTGTTTGGTCCAGTTTTCATGTTCTTGTTTATTCATATAATAAATGTAGACTGAATACAATTGTTTTAGATATTGTATTTTTGGTATAATTTCTTTGCAATAGATGCCAGAAGCAATTAAAATAATTCGTTCTTGCGTGTCGATATTTTTTATATAATTTTCACATGCACTCATTTGATTAAATATTTTTAGGTAATTAATAATGGATCTTAATTCTCGTCGTGTCACCGCATTTGTGTCATCGTCTGTAGTGAATACTTGTTCGTTTTTTTGTTCATAAACCTATCTGTATAACCAGAACAATGTAGATAATTCTAAATTTTTGCTTTCATTTTGCTGTTGCTCCGTCATCTCAACTGAAATCGTAATATAAAGAACACTCAATATGCGAGTCAGTTCTGGTCATGTAAATACAAATATGTATTTATATGTATGCATGCACACAATGTAGCTAATTTTTCCAACAAAGGTATGTTTTTTTTTTCATTTTACTATTTACATTAGTAATCTTTCATGAAGCGGAGCACAAAAATAACAATGGACAGAGACATATGCAGAATGTATTAATTTGCTTCTTACTATCGTACATAAGAAACAGGTTTTTCTTCTTATCTATTAGAGATGGATGACGCATCCTACGGCGGAGCTGTAGTAATATAGATTTTGATGAAGTGAGCGTGAAAATGAGAGTACTAGATTGAACTATGGAGTCAAAGGCGCATCCATTGACAATCATGCTTTCACTTGATAATAAAAAAGTGTTTTGAAACACTTTTGTTCCAAATAATAAAATACAAGATACTTTTTTCTAACACAATATGCAAATCATACTTAAAGCTTTCTTGAATTTCCATACCAAGTAAAATTGAAAATTATTCTCCAATTACTATTATTGATGACACAGAAATGATTTCATTTCAATAAAATAAACCATCATCAACTAAATTCAAAAATACTCATGTGAAACTGTTTTACATTTGACTCAAACATGCATGAGAATGTAAATAGGAATAACTAATACAATCACTATCAAGTATAAATATGTATTGTATAAAATATATGTCAAGTTATATATTTCCTTTATGTCGGATAACGAAAATCTTCAGGAACGCAAATCGTTAGATTTGTTTTTGAAATCTCTACGCTACTGATAAAATCTACCTCTTGTATTCCACACAATGAATAATAGATAAATATAATTATTACTGTTAAAAGTACAATATAAGATTAATGAAACAATTGTATTACAAATCAGTGGATTTGTCATTGTATGTAATTTCTTTCCTGATGCAACCAATAACAATATGATAGAAGCGAAAATCACAGTGATGAATTGAAGAAAAAAAATTAATTTCAGAGCGATAACATTGTAATTAGCAGAGCTCTGTAATATGTCTGGTAGTCATGAATTTATTTTTGATGCAAAATTGCTTTCTTGATGCTTCTGCTTCTATCGAAAATATAATAAGACAATAAATACTAAAGGAAAAAGAAGAAGATCAAAGTATTGTTAATGAATTGGCGTCATAACAGTCGACACAAGTATGTTTCATCTTTCTCGAAGCATGAAATACGATACTTCTTTTACTGTAAAAAACAAGACTATCTCATTGAAGCAATTATGGCTGATTTTTTTATCTATGCAACAGAAAATACTATAAAAGGCTACGTACAGATAATGAAGCGCAAAAGTAAAGTGGTAGCTTAGGAAAACTATACAGTTCTTTTGAAAAGAAAAGTATTAAAAAAGATGATGCATAATATTACTGTATTTCAATAAACGCAAATTTCCATAATATATCACTTCCTCTAGGTTCACTGTTTTTTTTCTTTTTATACTGAACTATAGGAAATAAAGAACAAAGCTGAATCGAATGGAGATTTACTTAATTGTTTCCTTTTCGGATAGCAAAAGAAGTATCGTATTACTTTAAGAAAAATGTCAGCCTCTCGCTTGTGTCAAGCATATTTTTAAATATCAACTTCTTACTAAATGGGTTAAGTGGCAACTGACTCGGCTCGATTAAAACTGATACGTAAATTGAAATTCGCTGAGTACAATATTGAACTATTCCTTCCTCAACTGTTAAGAAAAGTTCGATTCTTTTCAAGGTGAGATTTTATGAAATGAAGAACTAATTTGTCAAATCTATATCAGTGTCGTTACCGAATCCATGATCCTCTCTCTCCACTCGAGATTGTAGTGTCCATTTGTAGACCGGTTACGAAAGCTGAACTTGGTATAGAGTTCCAAAGCTTGCAAGACATTTTTTTGCTGTACATCTCATGAGCTAACAATTGGTAAACGACAATATTGTGTCAGATTGTTCCATCTGTGAAATATTAGGCTTAATAAATCAATAACTCCAACAAAAAAAGGAATAATTTATTTTGCAAACAAAATATTCTGTGCCATCAGACAGTACAGAGCTTTAGGACTTATTGTGTTATGTATATTGATGAATCAGAGTTAACGCTATCTTCAAGATGACTGTGCATAAGATTATACATGACATTTCTATTCAACATGCTATAATCGGTTGTCATAAATGCATGATAATCCTACACAATGATTTCATCTCAAATAATGATCGACACTCGTTTCTGAATTATGTCCTACTATGGTTTGATCGTCAAGTGATTTTCGGGTACAAATCTGATTAATTGTTGGATGGATTTAGGTGGGCTAGTGTGAGATTGGGCAAAAGTTTATTTATTCGTTAGCTATACCAACGAATAACAATATCTGCATGCACAACCAGAAGCACCCTCGCGCTCGTATCGACATGTTGCTATATTTTCTTTTCCAGTTGGTCTCGTTTTTATTGGAAAATTTACAGAAACTCTTTTAGTGTGTTGTTAATAATGAATACAGCTATGATATTTTGATGTCTACACGCAGAGGAGAACTTTTTACGATAACTGATTTCACTTGACTTGTACAAATCTAGAAAATACTCAAGTGAAAATGCAATGTTGAGAATATGTGCACCCATTTATTTTGTTTTCGGTACTTCGCCAGCGTGATCTTTCTGTTACGATGAACGATTTATTTTGGTCCTAACGATGTTCATAATAGATATTTCAATCTCAATCAAACCACTGATCAAATAATAGTTATGCACACAATGGGCTTACTAGGTGGATAAATTTCATGCATATCTGCTAAGATACTGTTAAATATATTCTTGAGTGAGACATATTTGATACATTTGTGCTATTTGACATCAAGAGAATATGAACATGATCAGGATTCTTGGGTTTTCATCACCGCGTATGAGAAGATGAAAGTGAATGGGATTTTCTCTTTCTTTTCATTCCACATTGATAGATATGTTTGCTTCATTTGGAACATAGTCTCATCGATTTTCTTAGCCCCTCTGCAACTGAAACGGTAGCAACGTTGAGTTTCAGCGGTATAATACGCGTTTCCGAACAGTGAAGAATGTGTTTGATTGTTTTTCGTAATTCTCGAGCAAGAACTATGACTGCTGCCTTTTCAATAGTGATGGCTAATGTGACAAAAACGAGACCTATAGAGTATAAAGTGTAGTGGGTGTGAGGGTGTGGGTGTGGGTGTGGGTGTGGGTGGGTGCAGATGAAGAGATACAACACACCCATAGCCACACCCACCCACACCCTTTTGTAACACCCACACCAAGCGAGATGTGGTGTGAGTCTTTTCGCAGCCAACAAGCCTAAACCATAATTGAACATGGGGATGCTGGAGATATTGGTAGACCCTGAAGACCATGACAGGCCTTTCTTTAGCAACTTTGAATTATTTTGTAATTAATGCTTTTTGAACTACTTTGTAATTTATTTGCATCGTCCATTGTAGTACCTGGTGGCACTTCGTAGCACCTTCTAGTATCTGGTAGTCCCTGGTAGCACCTTCTAGTGTCTGGTAGTACCTGATAAATTAGTTAGAACATGTTAATAGAATTTGAATTATTTTATAATTCATTTTTTTTGAATAACTTTGTAATTCATTTCCATCATCCAGTGAATCAATCTCAAAAAAATTATTGCGATACTGTGATCATATTCAATGGAAACTCATTTCGAATTTCATATCTTCTCTCCAGCTATCATAGCAATTCGTTTAATAACTCTAGACACTCAGAAGCTGTCGGTGTACCAATGTTCCAGTGAACACCGATGTCGGTGAGATCGGTGGCAGTGAAACTGACGTATCAGTGACACCGATTTCAGTGTAACCAGTGCTTCAGTGATGCAATCAGTCCGTGTCGTCGATGATGAGTATACTGAAACTGCACATCCCTAACTTATACATAGTTTCGATCCAGGTGATATTTTTTTGTTCATAATAGCAGTCTACTAAATCAGTTTTTAGAAAAGTCTCATTAATCTAATTCTGTTGAGTCTAAAGGAATGTATTCTATCTAGCAAAGAGCGTCCCTTTCGATGTTTGTTCGAGACTGATATCTAATGGATGGCTTATTGACAGAAATAAATTTAGGCGTTTTCTCTTGTTGTCGACAGTTAATTATCTTAGAATTTTGAATAAGAACTGGATAGTTTCCTATAATCTTGAATTTAATAGCTTTATAAAAGAGCGAAAAATACTTAAGCAAAAGCGGACGATTCGATTGATTCTCAACAGTTATAGAATTTCTGCATTTCCGCCATGCATGTATTCTGAGTGAAACTTTGATTCCAAAGAGAGCAACAAGTCTTGAAACCAATGATAAACCAGTGAAAGCCCCAACAAAGAGTGTCACTATATGGAGTATGCTGAAGCGCTGAGTATATGAGAAAGTACAATACGAAGGATTACAGTGAGTATAGTACGAAGTGAAAGAAGTAGTGTTTATGAACTCCTCAATCATCAGCTCGTTCAACAAGATTTTCACAGTGGTCATGCCTGTAAATCGACTCTTAACACTGAGTAATGGAGATAGTGTCGAGTTCATTGAAAGCGATTCTCGAATAAGAGAAATACAAGACTGCTGATAGAAACATTCAAATGATGAAGCGAGTGTTCCTTCAAATGGTCGGCAGTTGAACATCACTCCAGGTATGATGGTCGTCTCATTCATTGTGCCATTTTTCTGAATAATGACAGCTGGTCGAGGACAGCCCATTAGGTTCATACATGAACATCCATCAGGAAATCTAACAGCTTGAGAAGAGACAAATTTTCTTTGGGAATTTGGCATAGTTTTTAACATTAATTGAAAGTTGTTACCCAATCCTGTTATGTATTGATTACCTATTACTGCTTGCTGACTAATGAGTAGGTTTCGTTTAAGAGTGATCACTGCGGTTGCAAAAGAAAATTGAAACGCAAGTTTTGTATGTTCGTTCACTACCGAGTCCGGCAGTGCGACTTGACTGCGCAAAAGAGTCGCGTTGTAATCTCTAAATAAATTAGTTACCGTAGGTTCTACTAAAGTGCACAACAGCTGATTTGATTGCCAAAAATTGCTCAAAATTTTTCTTGCATCGTTAGGAAAGATCAATTGACTATCCACAGTGTACATGGCATCGATCCATGCTTGGGAAACAAATTGAGTTGAACAGACTTCGTGAAAAGTGGCTCGATACTGAATGAATTCACCGTATGCTATGGCCATACGCGCGCAAGGACATTAGATGGTTTCCGGGTTGCGAGAATAGAGCCGCATGAAATCTATTTCAGAAGGTTTGTACTTTGTAAACGATACCGTGCGAAGTGCTAAAGCTGCGTACAAAACCAGTACAATGCTTGATAGAGGCAGTATTACTAGATACAAACGAGTCATGAATTTTTCTCGTCGAACCAATTCCTGATCATTTGAACCTGATACGAACAAGTTGAGCTTTGTGATGAGATTACGAAGCCACATTTGTATACTTGCCATGTTGCCTACTCACTTCGTTTTGAATCTAGTGAAACCTAGAGCCAAAACAAACGAAAGAAAAATAATAGAAAATGCTGAAAGAAGGAAATGAGAAAATTAATAGTTTTTCATTTTCTCAACGCACCACTACATCACACGGTTGTGCGGATTTGCGTCAGAATAGAGATGGGACTCATAATAAAAATGAAATAAGGCAATAACTGATGCGCAATTTTGAAAACTGCACTTCTCAAATACTTTGAAAGTAATTATTATTTCTGTTTGAAATGTATGGTTCCAACTAAAATAAGAATTAAAGCTTTTAGTATTATAAATGATTGTTTGCTGTCATTTATCAGTGTCGGCTAAAAAACGCTCTTTACAATAGCAAAAGTTTAGAAGCATAAGAAGACTTGCTGGTGTAGGGCAAGGAGCCGTCATGTTGATTCTGTGAGATAACTGAGCTTTACAAAAAGTCGCAACTAAAATGAATGCGTCAATACATAGGATGATGATTATGACGACGACGCATATGCATCGAATCCGAAACATCGGGGTTTGGTTTCGGCTTTACTTTAAGAGTTCTGATATGGACTCTTCTTGGGCTCGTAGTAGATAGCACCATTAAGCATTTCGTGTTCTGAAAATCACTAGGCAATTGGCGATTAATCGTTGATTTTTGTTTGTGAGTATTTTGACGTTTGTTAAGATAAATTGTGATTTTCTAATCTTTCATTATCCTTCCTTGTACCAATAGTCGATGAAAATCCGTAAAATTAATATTGATTTTCACTGTTATATACAGAGATTCTAATTACTGATTTATATAGAGAAAGTATTTTTTTGGAAGATCTCACATGTAAATGATTCAAAATTAATAAAGTATGGAAGAAAAAAAACTATAGTGTGACATACAATTCTACAGCTAAACAAGAGTTACTGAAAAAAAGAACAAAAATATTAAAAAATGCTCATATATACAAATTGAAGTAATTACTCAATTGAGCTTTTTCTCAAGAAACTATTAACGCATGGTCGTCTTTCATTATTAAATTTGAAGTCTAAAAGAGAAAAAGACTAAATAAAAGTTCTATATAGAAGGTAGGTGTACATAAAGCAAATGAAAACAGATCGACCGATCTCTTAACGAAAAGACAAGTTCAATCTGCTAGTTTCAACTGTTGCTTTTCAGCAATCGATTTAGTCGAAATATTGTTATTTTGAGTAATTGTCCTTTGATCAAAATAATTAAAGAAATACAGAGTTAATTTCATCGACGCGCTTTGTGCTATTTTATTAAAATATTAAACACTCATCAGCGCTTTGCAGTACAAATTTAAGCACAAAAAATCAAATAAAAAGATAAAACAAAACTGAACAACATATGGTATATAGAACGGGGTAAAATAAATTGGAAAGGGTGGATATGTTTATAATAGAGTATGATTCAAAGCATCATACGACGCGTTTCGGCTATTACTTTGATAGTCACCAGTAGGTATGTTCTGAATCAAATACTATATGGTTATAACTTAATGAATATCTAAATAAACCTTAATATTGAAGTAATATTCAGAAATTCACTGACAAGAATGATAATTCTCTTCTTTGCCTTATTATACATGTGATCGTACAGAATCATCGGTTTACCATTAGCTGTTGTTTTAAATGCAGGTGGAATATCGAATCATAAATCTTTTGGTACTGGTGGAAGTGTTTTACTTCTTGCACGGTACAGAACTCGTTCTGCAAAAAAAGCAAAATTATGTGATTTTCAAGGAAAAAACTTCAATTTCAACCTATAAGAGTCCAGAAGAAAAACATACAAGTATATTTACCTATAGCAGTGGCTTTAGGTAGAGCAGCCATTTGTGTGTCGATAAGGTTCATTCTTGTGGCCAAATCGTTTCTAAGTTTAGAAGCTGAAATTGTACGCGCCTTTTCAGTCTCCATTTTTAATTGAGCTGCAAATTGTGAAACCACCTGTTTATCCTTATTCGGAGCATGTTGGCGTGGAAATGGACTAGCAGACATGAAATAATAAACAGGATTTTCTTTGACAGATTGATTTTCAGTTGTTTTTATTGTAGATGAACATTTGTACTGACTTCGTTTTTCTTTACAGCTCCATTCTAGTTCATGCTTCAATTTTTTCTCGATTTGATACCTAAAACCATTCAGACACAACTGATCGCCGCCTCTTTGGCTTTTGTACACTGTTATTTTTCCTGCTTTTGGCATGTATGATAAAGTTGATGCAGTAGCAGAAGAAGTAGCGTTCGTAGACGACTTCGAGTCCGAAGAGTCGTTCAGAGTCAAATTGTTCATTCAGACTCAATAGAATCATTCGACAAGGACGATGATAACCGAGAAGTAGAAGTAGAGTTACAAGTGCTGGTAGAAGTGATTGAGGAAGATCTAACGGTTGTTTTCGATCGTCTAAAGAGTAAAAACAAACAAACAATTGTTAGACTTGAGCGTACTACAGGAAAGTTCATTTCATTTACTTCTTTCTTACAGGATAAGCAGAGAGTTCACGCGCTCTTGTCATCACACGAGATTTAGCTCGATTTCTTTGCTGCTGTTGTTTTGCGACAATAATATTTTTAAGTTTTGTTGTACTCCCTGTAGAGGAGATAGAGATGACATTTGATTTTGACGATGACGTAAATAGTACAGTTTGTTTTGAAGGAGTAGAGTGAGTAGATGTACTCTTGAAACAGAATCTTTACATGATCGAAGAACGTACGGCATTTTAGTAAAGATTGAGAAAACCGCAAGAGCTTAGCAAGTTCTTGCCTTAAAAAGCAAAAGTGAAAATCTTGAAATAAAAAATCGCGAACAAACTGAACATATAGACACGTGAGTGGTGATGATGAATGAGTGAAGTTACGTATGAGAAGCAAGTTATTTAGTGCTAGACGGGCACAAATTTGTATGATACGTCGCTATTGACGAAACAAGGAACAAACTGGCTAAGGTATGCAACCGCCGCGTAAATAATCAACTATCAATAGGCAGACGGCAAAGTCTCATTTCGTGTTCACTGTTCATCAAGATGACTGATATTATTATTTTTTTCGAGTTTTTTCTCTCGAGATTATGAGACCTCTTCTCCTTCATCTACCACTCTATATCCAAGTCCGTTTTGCACACTACTTATTTTGTCTCGAACATCCCTATATTTGCGTTCCGAACACCCGGTAGTTTCTGTTCCGAACATCCATCTTTCATAACTCGGTCATATGATATAATTCATTTCGAACATCCATTCTCAACCTTACGAACATCCGTTAGAGTTTTTTTCGAACATCCGTTGGAGGACTAAAATGCCAATTCCGAACATCCGTTCTTTATCTTACGAACATCCGTTTTATTGGTTACGGACATCCGTTAAATTTTTTTCTGAACATCCGTTGACAGACTAAATGTCAATTCCGAACATCCGGTGTCCAATACGGATGTTCGGAATGACAGCGACGAAACGTCTGGAGGCCGGTTTGCATTTTCATCTCTTCAGTTGTGATATTAGGATCATTATTATTAAGCCTATGGGCTTGCTCAATAGTTTTGGATCTTGTTACGGTAATATGTCTACCAGGTAGTTCGTCATCTTGAACATCTTCTCGGCCTTCACGAAATCATTTACACCATCTGTCAACGGTTCTGAGAGCAGGAGTTTCATCACTATAAGCAAAGTATAGTTCATCATGAATAATACCCGATTGAATATTAAGTGCAGTGCGTGTTTTAATATAAAAGCGAAAAGGGTGAATCCGCCGGGATTCGACCACTTTGTGGAAAAAAATTTTTTATTTTATTTTTATAGTCTAGTTAGACGGAACGTCGTCGAAAACGGTCTGAGATACCAATTAAAATGTCTTTCAACGTTAAAAGTATGGAGATTCAGATCATTTTTTAGGAACACATCAACAAATGCAAGGTGCGAGTAATTCAGGAAGTTTTTTCTTTGATATTTTTACATGATACGATAGAGCTCGTCAAGCTCTACAAAACTGTATATACTAAAAAAATTTTAAACCATTTTTTTCAGACAAAAATTTCAAAAAAACTACTTCGAGAACGTCGAAAAAAGGTGTTTTTTATATGAAAGAAAAACACTTGATTTTTTCAATAAACTTAGCTTTTCTCATTATTTTGATTTTCTAAGACGTTTGGAAACATGCTCATCTGATTCAGTTTTTCACGCTGCACCGAATAAGCATGTTTTCAAACGTCTTAGAAAATCAAAATAATGAGAAAAGCTAAATTTATTGAAAAAATCGAGTGCTTTTCTACCATATAAAAAATACGCTTTTTTTGACATTCTCAAAATAGTTTGTTGAAATTTTTGTCTGAAAAAAATGGTTTAAAATTTTTTTAGTATATACAGTTTTGTAGAGCTTGACGAACTCTATCGTATCATGTAAAAATATCAAAGAAAAAACTTTCTGAACTACTCGCACCTTGTATTTGTTGATGTGTTCCTAAAAAATGACCTGAATCTCCATACTTTTAACGTTGAAAGACATTTTAATTGGTACCCCAGACCGTTTTCGACGACGTTCCGTCTAACTAGACTATAGAAATAAAATAAAAAATTTTTTTCCACAAAAGTGGTAGAAACTCCACGGATTTACCCAAAATATTCTTTGTCCAACTGAAACAGACATGGTCAGTGTTGTGGTTTTTACCTAACTTTCTTTCTTTAGCTTACTTAAAAACACAGTGATAATTAACTACAGAAACGCATCAAACAAACGTAACATGTGTCTTTATATATAGAGGGTTAGGGATTAAAAGAGGTAAGAAAAAAAATAAAGAAAAGATAGGAAAAGAACACAGAATAGATCAAGACAAGAATACACATAGAAGACAATATCGACTTATGTCATCGTTACATATCATAGGTAAACAAGTCTAATCAAAATTTTATTATTATTATTATTTTGGATGAAAAATGATCAAATAGCGTAGAAATGCAGAGCTTTGTTTTTAACTATCAGTCTATATAAAAAGAAAATTTCCTCAAGCCGTCTATACGAAATTAACATAGGACCACCACTACTTTTGGTATGCGGGTGTGGGTGTGGATATGAATATTCTTTTAATCCACAAGCACACCCACCCACACCCACACCCACACCGACACCCACACCCACCCACACCCACACACCCACCCAACACCCACACCCACACCCACCCCGAGAACAATAGCATTCTGGTCGGACCAATATCATCATTGATCGATATGTACGAGCAACACACAGCAAATTCAAATGTCAGAAACGGATGGACTCGATAGATTTTGTTCGACATTAGTCAACAATGATCGAGATGTCGTCAGTTCACTTTGAAGATGCTGTGAGGATGAAGAACGAGAATGAGCAGATGCGAGACAAGAAAAAACAATACTAACCGATGTTTCGTCTTCCAAACTTTTAACCTTTGTCTTGAGTGTTTCACATAGTAATCGAAAACATTCCAATGACTCACGTGTTGCCTAGAAAAAAATTCAGAATGATCGTAGAATTTTGCAATTAATGATCAAAAAAGAAACTGTTACCATAAGTTCCTGTTGCAGTTTTGACTCATTTTTCTTGGATTGTTCAAGATCACGCGTTAAGTTCTCTGATTTTAATTGTTCATCATCGAGTTCACAGCGAAATTGCTAGAAGAATGATAAATATAGTTTTTTTTTCTCGGAGAATTGATTTTTGTTTCTCTCATAGAGATGGACAACATCGATTTTTACTGGTTTTGGTTGCTTTCCGTAATTTTCGGTCCCAGTTGGTTCCGGCTGATCTCGAATGGTTCCAGTTATGTCAAATACAGATAAAATTAAGCTGAAAACCCTCCAGAAACTCTTCTGGTTGCAAAATAGTTCAGACAAATGATATTCTGGCCTTCGAAATATCAATGATCCGGACTAATAGATGATCGGTCCCAGTTCCGATTGATAAATGATTGCTCCCCCATCTCTATATATCTCACCTCTTTCGTTTGACACAATGCTATATTGGCAATTGTCAATTCGTTCAATTTAGCTTCCAATTTTTTCTTCAATAGAATTTGACATTTAACCAACTTCACTAAGTCTTCTTTCGGCACAGATTCAAGCTAAATACATGAGAGAAAATAAAAACAGAATTCTCGAGCAATAGATTCCATTGTACAGACTTTGCAGGATGCTGACCATTTGTCATTATTGTTGTTCTTGACATCTGAAACACGCTGATGAGTTTTTGCTGTACGCGTCGTATGCAGATTGTCGTTATATTTGAAGCAAAAGTGTTATTCTTACAATCGCCACGGGTGTGGATGCGGGTGTGTGGTGCGCGTGTGCTTCTCGTTCATCCACACCCATCCACACACACACCCACCCACACCCACATCTACACCCACACACACTCACACCCACACTCAGACCCACACCCACCCACACCCACACCCCACACCCACAGCGGTGGCCACTTCACACTCATTACAGAAATATTAGCTGTTGCCTTGGGTCGTTTAAAAAGCTGGAATTTTCAGGATAAACTCAAAACATGATTTGAAATCCAACAGCGCCAAGAAAATAATTTTCTGGCTCGCTGCATAAAAAAACTAGGTAACCATATGGCTATCCAGTGAAAACAGCGGAAAAAATCAATTTCGATATTTCGACCTGCAATTTTAGTCATATTTCACAGTCAGCGATATAAGATTCCACAGAAAATTTTAGCTGGATTCATCAGAATAGGCCAGAGATATGATGATCAACGTTTTCCATAGACCTGCCCCACTCTGAAAAAAATAAAGGAGGTTTGCAGAACCCTTTAGATCTCTAAAAGGTTCTGTCTTTTACCCGATAGCAGAACCCCTGAAAAAGGGTTCTGGATAAGAAAAAATAGTTCTGAAATCCTCGTCGAAACCTTTTTTTCTTGTCCAGAACCATTTTTCAGGGGTTCTGCTATCGGATAAAAGACAGAACCTTTTAGAGGTCTAAAAGGTTCTGCAAACCTCCTTTATTTTTTTCAGAGCAGCAGAAT